TGTATCCCTACACCATTCAAACACAGGAAAACTGCTTTTTAACATACTTAATTAAACTTTTTTTAATTATAGGTAATATTTCATTGAAATCCGTTAACACTGGATCATTACTTTAACTTTAACAGTAAACAAGCATTTCAGCTGTTAGCCTTCATCTGGGTTTTTTACAATGAAGAATGAAGGAGGATTTTATATATTTCTAAATGGTCGCCAATGGGTTTAGGGACCAATCACAATGGTAATACAACATGAAACGTGATGTGATTGGTTAATGAGCTGCAAAAATCTGACCAATAGGAGACGGATTTGACATTTACAAAAGCCTCCTTGCTTTAGTCAGTCTGTAAAGAGAACCATCTGTAAGGCCGCAATGAAATCTAAGGGCAGAAACATGTTTTTTAATTATTTTTTTTACATTTAACATAAAATAAGTACTGTGCTACAAGAGTTGCAGAATTTCATTTTCATGGGTGAGATGAGACAATGTATATAAAACATACATTTAACAACTTTGCTAATATATTTTTGCCATTCAATGTAGTATCCGGGTGAATGCTTTTCTATTGCCAATGGTGCTAGCAAATCAAAATTCCAGGTTTCACAGCAAAATATTTAGGAACATGGGAGCCCACAGAAACAGTAGTGGACATAGGAGGGAAGTGATGCACACTATTCATATTCTACCATAGTAACTGATAGAGAAGAAGGAAAATGGTCTAGAGGGGAGAAGATTGCAGTGGGCCTCAAAATAATCCGGACAACAAAAGTTTTGTGTTTTGAATTTTGGAGTAGAGCACCCGTCAAAGGAGTCAACTCAGGGGTGACGACGGATGTTCAGGTTGAATACCTGAAGAGAATTCCTGGTGTGGTTAGTGATGCTAGTGACGATATGGTAGTGGATGCACCACAGTCAGTAGTAAATGTTTGCTGCCAGTCAAAATATACAATGTGTGTTAAAAATATGGATTTTGTGGCGTTTAGCGTCACAGTTATAAACTGTACGGCACAAGTATCAAATAATTCTAAGAAACTAGACATTATTGTGGCTGCGGCAGAACAGTTTGTGGGACTTAACGATTTGACATCTGAATACTTGCAAGGGGTACTGGTTCCTGAATACCCGCAGATTTTAGATTTTATTTATTTATTTTTTGGTAGTTTGTTCCGTTTTTGGGGAATCCTGTTTCTATCCCGCACAATAGGTGGCGGGATGCACATTACATTGTGCGATCGCCAATATACCATAGAAGAAGAAGATAGAGAAGAAGAGTTCATTCAGGAAGCTGTTTGTTAAACGCTTCTGTTTCAATATCTATCAAGGTAACATCAATGAAACGCAAACATTATGGGAATTCTTGGCATATTTTGGTAAAGAAATTATGCTTTTTTTGGCTTAGGAGTCAGCTAGCCTAACAATCAAGTGTCATACTAATGTTAGCTAGCTTTCTAGAGACTGTCAGTGTAGCTAGCAAGCTAGGTAAGGTAGCCTTCCTGTAAACATTTGATGGCTGAAGTAATTCCATTCCTTAATATAATTGAAATATTTTAAGTTTAATGTCTTTTGCTGTAACAAAGGTATCTTAGCCATGTGGCTAGCTAGGTTGGCTAGAGCTGCTAGCACAGTGTACTATCTTTGTTGCTAGCTAGGTAGTTCCTTTATACTCCAGCTTGAAACTCGCGTATGGTGGGTGGGTGGTGGTGGTGGTGTTGTTGTTGTGAATTGGCAACGTGACGCACGCGATGTATGTAGTTTGCAATTCATTTGAACGGTTGTGTTTATTATTTTTTTGTGTGTGTGTGGGGGGGGGGTTGATCAGCTTAATATTGCAGATAGATTGTAACTTCCATCAATGTAATTGTCTGCATCACTTCCAATCCCCGATGTTTTTTTATATATATACTCTCCTTTATTACTTTTCAACCCCGCCATCCTTTCCCTACTTGTGGTAAATTAGTGAACAACAATGCTTAGGCCTCTACTTCCAGCTTATACTTACTATCTACATTTTATGGACACAGTCAATTTTGCAATAATTCTATTTTATTTGTTTTTGCTCCTGAACTTCTACTCTCAACCTCTGATCATTTTCATGATGTCCATCCGGTTTGCTTCTATATGCCATATCTTTCTAACTGTGCTCTTTCCCAAAAGCTCCCAACATACAACCTATATACTTATTATGGACACAGTATGCTTACATTATTAGTTATCTTGTTATTATTTGTTGTTATTTGTTATTAGTCCCATCCTTCAACTCCACTCAACACCTCCCATCTATCTTTTAACACCATCCATATAGGATTTCTATTTGCCATATATATTTCAACTGTACTGTGATGTTTTGCAAAAGTTCTGAACCTTTCTATTCTCATTGCTTCTACAGATTGTGAATTAAAAATTAACATTTTTGCTAAAAGTATTATTATATTATTGATCGATTGACTATGAGTTTTCAGATCACCCAGTAATGCTATCTGCAAGGTTAGCTCCAGGTAAATATTGCAATCCTTTAGCCATTCCTGGACCTGTGTCCAAAAACAAGCTACAAATGGACAAAACAAAAACAAATGATCTAATGATTCTGTCTCTTCACAGCAAAATCTGCAGAGCTGGGAAGATTGTATCCCCCATATAAATAACATTCTATTGGTAGCAAGAATTTTATATAATAATTTAAATTGAAAGATTCTCATTTTTGAATCCGGTGTCGTTTTGCGTGTCAGTTCATAAACACTATGCCATGGGATCAGTATGTCAAAAATCTCTTCCCAACTATTTTGCAATCTATATGGGATGCTGTCAATCCTTTGGTCCTTAAATGAAACTGATATACTTTTTTATTTATCACAGTTTTCCTTAACCAATTATGTTCTTTAATGCAAGGCCGACAGACAAGTTCCTTACTTTCTCCCCCTTCCACTTTCGTCTTCCATTTTTGCGGACATTTCCATATGTTTTTGTTAGCTGCATGTGCGACATAACTCCACCAGTCCTACCGATGATATCATTTTATGAAGATTATACCTTTTTTAAACATTTTGTCAAAAAATAAAGTTTTTTTGGATTAAATTGAAATTGCAACCAACTTTCTATGGCTTGTTTTAGAAATAGTGATATTCGGGAGATTATTTCCTTTTCAAATAACTGAAAATGAGTGGTTGTAATCTGAATAAAGGGAAAAAGGCCATTCTTGAACATTGGGTGAGACAATCTTACTAATTTGCTTGAGAACCAGTTTGGATTTAAGTATAACTTTTGTATGACTGAAGCTTTTAGTGAAAGGTCTAATGCTTTAATATTTAATAATTTCTGTCCTCCGAATTCATATTCATTATATAAATAGGCCCTTTTAATTTTGTCTGGCTTGCCGTTCCAAATAAAATGGAATATTTTTTTCTCATATAAATTAAAAAACTGTTCGCTAGGCGTAGGCAAGACCATAATCAAATAGGTAAACTGGGATAATACTAAAGAGTTAATCAGGGTGATTTTTCCACAAATTGACAGGTATTTACCTTTCCATGGTAGCAAGATCTTATCTATTTTTGCTAACTTTCTATTAACATTTATTGAAGTGAGATCATTTATTTCCTTTGGGATATGTATTCCGAGTATATCCACATCACCATCAAACCATTTTATTGGTAAACTACATGGTAATGTAAAAATTGTATTTTTTAGTGATCCAATACGTAATATAGTACATTTGTCATAATTTGGTTGTAATCCAGAGAGGTTAGAAAATGTATCTAGATCCTCTATGAGGCTGTGGAGGGATTCTAGTTGTGGATTTAAAAGAGAACATGAATCATCAGCGTACAATGACACCTTTGTTTTTAAGCCCTGGATTTCTAATCCTCTGATATTAATATTGGATCTGATTTTAATAGCTAACATCTCGATGGCCACAATAGATAGATATGCAGATAGTGGACAACCTTGTTTCACTCCTCTTGACAGTTTAAAACTTTCTGAGAAATAGCCATTATTTACTATTTTACACCTAGGGTTACTATACATGATTTTGACCCATTTTATAAGAGATTCTCCAAAATTGAAATGCTCCAGGCATTTATATATAAACCCCAGTCGTACTTTATCAAATGCCTTTTCGAAGTCTGCTATGAATAGCAGGTCTGGTTTCCCAGATTTTCCATAGTGTTCTATTGTTTCCAATGCTTGCCTTATATTATCTCAAATGCATTGTCCATGTAAAAAACCTGTTTGATTAGAACGAATAATATCCGACAATACCTTTTTAATTCTAATCACTATACATTTTGCTAGAATTTTTGCATCACAACACTGAAGTGTAAGGGGCCTCCAATTTTTTTAATGGACTGGATCTTTATATTTTCCATTTGTATCCTGTTTCAGTAATAATGAGATCAGACCTTCTTCTTGAGTGTCAGATAATCTACCATTTACATAGGAGTGGTTAAAACATGCTAATAATTGTCCTCTTAGTATATCAAAAAAGGTTTGGTATACCTCGACTGGTATGCCATCCAACCCTGGAGTTTTCCCTGACTTAAAGTCTTTAATTGCATCCAGAAGTTCCTCCTCTGTAATTTCGAATGGCTGTGTTGTCAATACTTGTAAATAGTACCTAAAATAACTCACATGATGACATGTTTGGTCACCTTACTGAGAGAGTTGAGAAATTGTGTGGGTGCAGGCTTTTGCTCCAACCAAGCAGTAACACACCTGATTATGGTCCGAATGCTTTAGTATCAAGTGGCAGTGATTTCAAACCTTGACTGTGGAATGTGTGGATGAAATGTAGTGAGATGTTGAGGAATTAATAAGATCATATTGTAGCCCGACCTGGTCTTGAACCCCGGTCCAGTGACTGTCATGCCAACACCTTAACTGCTACGCCAAGAGGTTCGAACCAGTTGACGAGGTCGCTAGGTGTTGGTTTAAGGTCACTACATTACCCCCTTCCTTTGGTTTTGTCCCTATTCCTTTCCCCCAGCTCCTCAGAGCCCATGAGGAGATGAGTGTCCCAGACTACATGCAGTGTGCTGAGGACCATCAGACGGTCTTGGTGGTGGTCCAACCGGTGGGCATCGTCCCTGAGGACCAGTTCTTCAGGATCTACAAACGCATCGCCTCTGTAGCCCAGGTCAGCATCCACTATGTGTACTAGCTATGAGTGCGTCCCAAATGTCACCTTATTGCAGGGCCACAATGGTCAAAAGTAGTGCACTAAGAAGTCCTGCTTCTACATGCTGCTTCTACATCTGCATGGCTTGCTGTTTGGGGTTTTAGGCTGGGTTTCTGTATAAGCCCTTAGTGACATCTGCTAATGTAAAAATGGCTTTATAAATACATTTGATTGATTGATATAGGGAATAGGGTGGCATTTGGGACACAGCCTAGGCCTATGTCTTATTATTTATTGAAATATGTAAACCCGTGCAAATAGTCCGGGTAGCCATGTTTAGCTGTTCAGGAGTCTTATGGCTTGGGGGTAGAAGCTGTTGAGAAGCATTTTGGACCTAGACTTGGCGCTCCGGTACCGCTTGCCATGCGGTAGCAGAGAGGACAGTCTATGACTAGGGTGGCTTGAGTCTTTGACCATTTTTAGGGCCTTCCTCTGACACCGCCTGGTATAGAGGTCCTGTATGGCAGGAAGCTTGGCCCCAGTGATGTACTGGGCCGTACGCACTACCCTCTGTAGCGCCTTGTGGTCGGAGGCCGAGCAGTTGCCATACCAGGCGGTGATGCAACCAGTCAGGATGCTCTCAATGGTCCACCTTGTAGTTATATGTTTTTTTAATGTACTTTTTTTTTACCATTGGATGCTGATTGTTAAGTTATCCCTATTTTGTTTTGTCTTTTTATGATATTGGGAAAAAAGGTGTCCATCCGGGACTCCCAGCGGAACCTCTATATCCGTTACCGCCACCACTACCTCCCAGAGAACAACGAGTGGGGAGACTTCCAGACACACCGCAAGGTTTGTTGCTTTGTGGCTTTTATCTTTCCTATTTGTTACCTTTCGTAATGTGTATTTGGGTTTCATCAATGCACTTAGTTTTTTGTTATGTGTCCTGTACAGCAGCCTTTTGCAAACCTCTCCTTGGGCCCGCAGCAGTTCCATGTATTTGAAGTATTCCAGAGTTAGCATACCTGATTCAACTTGTCAACTAATCATCAAGCCCTTGACTACTTGAATTAGGTGTGCTAGTTTAGGGCTACAACAAAACTGTAAAATGTCTGGGAGTCCCCGAGGAGAGGTTGGAGAAGCACTGCAGTACAGTATGTGGGTCTTTTTGTCCTGGGCATGACATTTCTCCTCAGGAATATTAGTATTATCTGTCTATCTATCTCCATCTATCTAGGTGGTGGGCCTCATATCTGTGACGACCTGTCGTTCGGCGAAAGAATGGCCCCAAACGTCGGACCGTTTCTACAGCCAGAAGGAGGTCTTCGGAGCCACGCTGTACGACTCACGGCTCCTGGTGTTTGGGCTACAGGGGGAGATAGCAGAGCAGCAGAGGACGGATGTGGCGTTCTATTCTAGCTATGATGACTGTCCCGATGTGGAGAAAAGGGTGGAGGACTTTGTGGAGTCCATCTTCATCGTGCTGGAGTCCAAGAGGCTGGATAGAGCCACGGACAAGTCTGGGGATAAGATACCACTGCTCTGTGTTCCCTTTGAGAAGAAAGACTTTGTGGGGCTGGACACTGATAGCAGGTGAGTTGTCTTTTCTTCTGCACTCTATTTGGCTTTTATAGGTCTGGGATCATCCACGTGTTTTGCTGCTTATATTGTTTTTCAGCTGGTCAATGAATTTGGAATTAACAAAGTTGGTTAATAAACACTTTCTATGAGCCTGTACTGTAACTGCTGAATTTACAAATAGTCTATTAGTTTTACAATTGATAAAATGCCTCAATTTGTCAAGTGAAGCCTAACGGTTGTTAGATGGTTTTTACTTGGCTGTTTCATGGTTGTTACAAAATGATGGAAAAAGTCTGACCTCAGTGTTTCTCTGTGATGTCCATTGTCAAGATAGCCTTCTCATTACATTAGTGTTGCTAAGGACTACAGTCAACCTTGTGTGTTTATTTCCTCATTTAAAAATCTGTTTTTATTTTTGCTTCTTTACTTTATCTTGGTTACTTTATTTGTTTTTCTCATGTTTTTTCTTGCATACTGTCCTGTGAGTTTATTGTTGGGTGTGAAAAGGTGAGATGCTGTTGGACACATCGCTTTAGTTAAGCCCATCCCAGTTCCATCAGCTTAAGCCCACCCCTAAACGAGACACTCCGCCCTTGCCCCGTCCCCTACCCCAGTGCTCTTGTGCATGGGTTCAAAGCTTAGATCCAAACTCATCACTCCTCTCAACTTTGTATGAAATATAATCATAACAACAAGAGTTTTGAAGGAGCTGATAGTATGGACATGCAGAATACATGACACTATCAGTGACTGAGGCTTGTGAAGGTTGGTTCACTTAAACAGTGAGGCTATCCTATCTATTCTATGATGTGCTTGTAAAGGTTTGTCCAGGCTTTCAGGAACTTGATGATTGGGAGGTTGTGTCACCTGACCCGAGCTTGACTGAGTGAATAAGGTCTATACTCCAATTCTTCTGAAGCATCACACATTCTATAACATGGCTCTCATATCTTCTGCTATATTCTGCTGCTACTACACTTTAACATGGATCTTATATATTCTACTATATTCTGCTGCTACTACACTTCAACATGGATCTTATATCTTCTACTATATTCTGCTGCTACTACACTTTAACATGGATCTCATATGTTCTACTATATTCTGCTGCTACTACACTTCAACATGGATCTCATATCTTCTACTATATTCTGCTGCTACTACACTTTAACATGGATCTCATATATTCTACTATATTCTGCTGCTACTACACTTCAACATGGATCTCATATCTTCTACTATATTCTGCTGCTACTACACTTCAACATGGATCTTATATCTTCTACTATTTTCTGCTGCTACTACACTTCAACATGGATCTCATATGTTCTACTATATTCTGCTGCTACTACACTTTAACATGGATCTTATATATTCTACTATATTCTGCTGCTACTACACTTTAACATGGATCTCATATGTTCTACAATATTCTGATGCTACTACACTTCAACATGTATCTCATATGTTCTACTATATTCTGCTGCTACTACACTTTAACATGAATCTTGTATATCCGTGATTCATGGAGGGATGCATCAACTTCAGCTAGGCTTATTATTGCACCTATTTATGAAAGCATGACTTTGAATATGGTATCCATGTCCTTCTAAGCAGACCATACACAATGTATTGCTCATCATTTTATTTCACAAACTAGGCTAACAAATGGTAACATAGGCCTAGTTTTTTTCATCTTAAAAGTTTAGGCCCAAGTCATTATTTTGAATCTGAACAATATGAGCAAATATACTATGAATTCACTAATAGCATGGAAATCAACCCCATTTAGCCCCATTGAAACATCATATTGCTCTCTAGGTAACACAGTACTAGGTGGGTTTGACCCTTGACCTTCCCAGTGTCTCAGGCTCCAGTAAAGAGTTAGACAGACAGAGGCCTTGCACACGTCTTGAACTGGCCCCCTTTTCTTTTGTTAGAATTACAAACTGTGATGTTGTCCTCCTCCTCTTCAACCCTTGTGTGTTTAATGTGCTAGACTCCAGGATCAGGGTTGTTCTGATTATTTATCTCTATTGGGTTCGCACCTCCCCAACCCCTGTCTCCCTTGCTTGTGCTGTCCCACCCCACACACACCCCTTGTAAATGATAAGATTCATTCAGAAGTGAGTCTCCTCTGCTAGCACCCAATGGGACCTGGGTAAGAAAATACATTATGCTAAAAGAAGGACTTTTATTTTGTAAACCATATGAATGAGAGAGAGAGAGAGAGAGAGACAACGAAAGAGGGTTTTTGTAAAAATGATGTAAGAAGTAAACCCTACTTGGATACTTGTTTGCTGTAACGTGGACAAAGTTGTATTGTAAATGGATATCTCTACGACATCTGACTGACACATTTTGACGTTTCTTTCCCTCCTCCTCCTCTAGGCACTATAAGAAGCGTTGCCAGGGCCGTATGAGGAAGCACGTTGGGGACCTGTGTTTGCAGGCAGGCATGTTGCAGGATGCCCTGGTTCACTATCACATGGCTGTGGAGCTGCTCCGCTCCGTCAATGACTTCCTGTGGCTGGGGGGTAAGACTGGGGATGAAGACATGGCTCCTCCTCTTCCTGCTCTACTCTCAAATCCAATAAAGCAGGGGTGGATACCCTGCAGGTTTTTGCTCCGACCCTACTAAATTATAACACACCTGATTCTACTAATCAGCTGCTCACCACGACCTTGAAGGCGATGAGGATCTGAATCAGGTGTGCTACAACAGGGTAGTAGCAAAATCCTGCCAAGCCCAATAGCTCTCCAGGAGGATGGTTCACCACCCTTGCCATACATACAGAATGCCCTTTAGTCAAAACTTGTAATGGGGGGTATTCTGTTTCATTGACACATCTCCCTTGTGTCTTGGTTCTCCAGCTGCGTTAGAGGGCCTGTGTTCAGCCTCTGTTATCTTCCACTACCCTGGAGGAACAGCAGGGAAGGCTGCTGGACGCAAACCCAGCCTGGCACAGGGCCAGGCCCAGGCAGCCGACGCAGGGAAGAGACACCGGCCAGGTAAGCAGCACTCCTCTCTCTCACTCGCTCGCTCTGTGTGTGAGGTTGGGGGTGGTCTTCTCTGTGGGGATATTTGTGATGGGGCTGAGGTATTTAAGCAGTGAAAGGGTCAAATGTGTTTTGTTTAACTTTTGTTTTGGCCAAGCCAAGTTGGCCATATGGCTAACAAGGAGGAACCGGGTCAGGGGGAGGACAGACTTGGTGTTATTATTGAAAGTGATGGTCTCTGCACACCTTAGGGTTGAATTTGATCAAATTAACTGTGTGGAGATGTTTCAGGAGGTATGGGGGCTTTCTGTACATCTGGAGAGGAGGGGTTGGAGGTACGGTTGTAATGTGGTGCTGGAGGGTGGATTGTATTGTACTGCGTTGTTGTGTAATGTGATTGTGTGGAGGTTGTGGTGGCACGCAATGCGTTTTTATGGGGAGGGGGATGTTTGCAGTGTTTTTAGTGTAATGAGGATATCTCATTAAAGACAACTTGTGTGGTGGGACAGTGGTATATGTCTGTGTTCTGTTTCCTGGACAACATTACCTGAGAAATCCGGTGGCCCCCACAACCTAACCCATTTGTTTCAGTATTTACAGTATTTAATATAATATTTCCATTCACCCATATCTTTACTTAATATTATTAACAAGTCAATTACTTTAACCCCTAAATAACCACACATATTTTGCTTTAGTTTATTACTGAAGTAATTAGCAATAGCATACTATAGCGCGGGGACCGATGGGAAAGTCCCAAGGAACCATCTGAAAAGTGGCTTGTTTGGGGACTAACATTGCTTTCAGTAACTAACTGCACCGTGTGAACCTGCATTCTCTCTCTGTGTGTCTGTGTCTCTGTCTGTTACTGTAGGGGCACAGGAGGTACTCATAGACCCAGGTATGGTATGACACTAACCGGCCGATGCCGCGTAGTTCTACTCGTAGTTAGACATCTCCCCTGCCTGTGTTTGCCTGCTGTGGCTCTTTTCCCTATTAGTTGTATTTGGTTTCAACAACCTCCTGACTTGGTCCCAGATCTGTTAGTGCTGTCTTACCAACTAAGGCCAGACAACACAAACAGATCTGGGACCAGGCTATCAACCCATTGCGCTACATCTGATTCCAACGTTTGATTGTTTCCACCACTGGTAAATCAAAACTGATGTTTTTTTCCCACCTCTTAAGGCAGGTATTGTATTCCTGTTATTCTTGTCAGTGTTAGGTGTTGTTGGGTGTTCGTACTTGATTACACCATTGACCTCTTCTTCTAGTCAATGAATAGTAACCATTTTAAATAATGATCAAGGACATTATATCCAACACTATAAACAAGAAGAACCACATAACATCTGATTAGATTAAAAAGTAATTCAGACATGCACCAGAAGGTGGCAATGTTGCTATTGAAATCACAGCACTGCTGATTGAGGCATCCAAGCTATTTGTCTGCTCTTCCTGTAGCCTCAAGTTACAATGTAGAACTGTTCAGTGTGAGGCATTTTGTCCAATCTATCAGTAGAATATGCTGCAGAAATTAAGCTCTTATATGTTACCTTTCTAGGAACTGGGTTTGGTTTGACTAAACCATTCAACCCAAGGGGTCTGTGTAAAGTGTGTAGTTCTGGGTCTAGATGTAACATGTTGCACATTTTTCTAACACTTAAAAACATGTTTTTTATAGTCATATATGCCATTTAGCAGATAATTTTATCCAAAACGACTTACAATTGTGTGTGCATACATTTGTTACGTATGGGTGGTCCTGTGAATTGAACCCACTATCCTGGCACTATAAGTGCCAAGCCTTACCAACTGAGCTACAGAGGACCAATTAGCAATGCTATTATCCAAAGCAACTTACAGTACAGTGAGTGCATACATTTCTAGTATGTGTGTGATCCCAGAGTAGTCTTATGATTCACATGTAATGCTGTGTCATAGTGACATCGTCGCGACGCTGTTGCTATGGACCCAGCTAGCGCCGTTTCTAGGTAATGTTCTCTCAATACTAAATTTGCATTCAAATCACATAGGTAGACGAGAGCTACTCCTCGCACATAATCGTTTTAGAACCATTTCAATTGAAACGCTCCAAACTACTGAGCACATGATGAAATCAGCCTCAGCGTCATTTTGATCACATAACAGTGCACAGTGACCCTCGAAGGCCTTGTATTTATAGATAGATTGTTGTGTACAAGTGTTTTGTATTTCCATATAAAAGTGAATGCCGTGCATGGCAATCATTGAGCGTTGTCTTGATGTCTTGGTGTTTGAAACGCCTGTCGACACTGCATTAAATGTGTATGCTCAGGTAAGCTGTACACAGTTTGTGAGTATGTCATTGTTGATTGTTGTGACTTTGGCCATATGCATGAATGTGAAGAACCAAGTGGTAGATGGGTCTGATAACATTGACAATCACCCCCCCCCCCCCCCAGGTGCCCTCACAGCCAATGGGATCAGTGCGGACACCAGCAGTGAGATTGGTCGAGCCAAGAACTGCCTGAGCCCTGAAGACATCATAGAGAAATACAAGGAGGCCATTTCCTACTATGGCAAGGTATTGGAAAAGACAACAAATAGATTCCCCCACACACACTATTGAATGCTCCTATCTACTTTCTTCCATCTCCTGCTATGGTCACTTTGGACACACCTACTCATTCCAGGGTTTTTCTTTATTTTTTAAAACTATTTTCTACATTATAGAATAATGGTGAAGACATCAAAACTATGAAATAACACATATGGAATCATGTAGTAACCAATAAAGTGTTAAACATATCAAACTATATTTATATTTCAGTTTCTTCAAATAGCCACCCTTTGCCTTGATGACAGCTTTGCACACTCTTGGCATTCTCTCAACCAGCTTCACCTGGAATTAATGTTTTTCCAACAGTCTTGAAGGAGTTCCAACATATGCTGATCACTTGTTGGCTGCTTTTCCTTCACTCTTCACTCTGTGGTCCGACTCATCCCAAACCATCTCAATTTGGTTGAGGTTGGGGGATTGTGGAGGCCAGGTCATCTGATGCAGCACTCCATCACTCTCCTTCTTGGTTAAATAGCCCTTACACAGCCTGGAGGTATGTTGGGTCATTATCCTGTTGAAAAACAAATGATAGTCCCACTAAGCCCAACCAGATGGGATGGAGTATCGCTGCAGAATGCTGTGGTAGCCATGCTGGTTAAGTGTGCCTTGAATTAGAAATAAATCACAGACAGTGTCACCAGCAAAGCACCCCCACACCATAACACATTGATGGTTTTTGCGAGTGCACTTGAAGAAACTTTCAAAGTTCTTAAAATATTTGTTTCTCTTTGCTTATTTGAGCTGTTATTGCCATAATATGTACTTGGTATTTTACCAAATAGGGCTATCGTCTGTATACCTACCTTGTCACAGCACAACTGATTGGCTCAAACGCATTAAGAAGGAAAGAAATTCCAGAAATTAACTTTTAAGAAGGCACACCTGTTAATTGAAATGTATTCCAGGTGACTACCTCATGAAGCTGGTTGAGAGCATGCCAAGAGTGTGCAAAGCTGTCATCAAGGCAAAGGGTTGCTATTTGAAGAATCTCAAATATAAAATATTGATTTTTTTTAAACACTTTTTTGGTTATTACATGATTCCATATGTGTTATTTCATAGTTTTGATGTCTTCACTATTATTCTACAATGTAGAAAATAGTTAAAATGAGTAGGTGTGTCCACTCTTTTGACTGGTACCGTACATCTAGCTATTTTTCAGGTGCAGGGTACAAAAAGTATACATCATATAAAGGAAACAGATACCCACACACTGTTGAATGCTCCTACATAACTTAATTACATGCAACATTTCAACAAGAAGGTTCAGTTTTTGTGCTTTGCAGACCAATGCTGTTTGCAGACAGTATTCCATTATCCAGTTTGCAGTTCTCAACATCTCCACCAGGGGACAGTAGCTCACTAGGTATCAGTGATGGTTGAGCGTCTGATGCAGCATAGAGAGAGGCTGTGTGCACACTGTAAAAAAAAACTACAACATGCTGACTGCAGGAGAAAACGTCTGAGTGCACTCAGAGGGTCAACAGTGGAAAGCTTAGCTAGCATGACGTCACTGTCTGTTACTATTAGCCAAATGGAAGTGTGTGGCCATCTCTAATGCCCTATAACCCCAACAGTTAAAACAAAAAAGACTAGTTGCATTGTTAATCTGTTGATAACTATAACTATACTTACTGTTATAACACAGGTGTGCGTTAACAAAAACGAACAAACAAACCGAAAGCGTCGGGGTAAAAACACAGATGCATAGCAGTGCTAACTGTGCCACTAGAGATCCTGGTTCGAATCCAGGCTCTGTCGCAGCCGGCCGCGACCGGGAGACTCATGGGCGGCGCTCAATTGGCCCAGCGTCGTCCAGGGTAGGGGAGGGAATGGCCGGCAGGGATGTAGCTCAGTTGATAGAGCATGGCGTTTGCAACGCCAGGGTTGTGGGTTCGATTCCCACAGGGGCCAGTATAAAAAAAATTATATATGTATTCACTAACTGTAAGTCGCTCTGGATAAGAGCGTCTGCTAAATGACTAAAATGTAAAATGTAAATGTATCCCAGTAGGCCTTCTGAAACTTTATCACCACTATTATAATTGGCTATTTGCTCTGACCTCACTTGGCCCTTTTACCTGTAACTAGTTCACTCCAAATTTAATTACATTATATCTCGACACGACGGGCCATTCAGATATTAATTGAATTTTAATAAGGAGACAGTGGGGATGGGGTGGGTAGCTGATTGTGTGAGAGAGAGAAGTGTATGGAGTCTAAGCAGCACTACTGTACCTCGAGTCCAGTTTCTACTTCAATATAACTACTAGGTGGGAACCTGGAGCTCCCCTTGAAGAACCATGTGGCACAAAGTAACAATAAACGGCAGAGGTTCCGTATCACCCCATGGACTGTGATCAGTAATCTCACGCCTCTGATAAAGATGTCTGTAGCCGAGAGAGAAAGAGACAGATGATGCAATACATCTGTTCAGATTATTGGGTTGGGTGGGGTGGGAAAAGTCAGAGTAGCCCTCATTGGTTAGTTAGGATTTCCTTATGCTGAGCATGGGCTGTGTCTGTTCTCATCACCATCCTCTTTCTTTCTATCTCTATCTCACTCTCCCTGTCTCTCTCACTCCCCCTCTTCCTCTCCTTCCATCCCTCTCCCAGTATAAGAATGCAGGAGTGATAGAGCTGGAGGCGTGTGTGAAGGCAGTCAGGGTGCTAGCTGTTCAGAAGAGGGCCATGGAGGCCTCAGATTTCCTCCAGAATGCTGTTTACATCAACCTGGGACAGGTACGACCTCACCTGACATGTAGATGTACCTCCCTGTGGGGAACCATCATCCTGTTCTCGAACACATTCTGTTAGTTAGGGACCAGAGTTTTACCTAGTCAAGTCCCATGCTTACATCTCATATTCAGGAAAAACCAGAGTTTTACCTAGATCAAACAGTGAGGGAAAAAAGTATTTGATCCCCTGCTGATTTTGTACCTTTGCCCACTGACAAAGAAATGATCAGTGTATAATTTTAATGGTAGGTTTATTTGAACAGTGAGAGACAGAATAACCACAAAAAAATTCAGAAAAACGCATGTCAAAAATGTTATAAATAGATTAGCTTTTTAATGAGGGAAATAAGTATTTGACCCCTCTCAATCAGAAAGATTTCTGGCTCCCAGGTGTCTTTTATACAGGTAACGAGCTGAGATTAGGAGCACACTCTTAAAGGGAGTGCTCATAATCTCAGTTTGTTACCTGTATAAAAGACACCTGTCCACAGAAGCAATCAATCAATCAGATTCCAAACTCTCCACCATGGCCAAGACCAAAGAGCTCTCCAAGGATGTCAGGGACAAGATTGTAGACCTACACAAGGCTGGAATGGGCTACAAGACCATCGCCAAGCAGCTTGGTGAGAAGGTGACAACAGTTGGTGCGACTATTCGCAAATGGAAGAAACACAAAAGACTGTCAATCTCCCTCGGCCTGGGGCTCCATGCAAGATCTCACCTCGTGGAGTTGCAATGGTCATGAGAACGGTGAGGAATCAGCCCAGAACTACACGGGAGGATCTTGTCAATGATCTCAAGGCAGCTGGGACCATAGTCACCAAGAAAACAATTGGTAACACACTACGCCGTGAAGGACTGAAATCCTGCAGCGCCCGCAAGGTCCCCCTGCTCAAGAATGCACATATATAGGCCCATCTGAAGTTTGCCAATGAACATCTGAATTATTCAGAGGAGAACTGGGTGAAAGTGTTGTGGTCAGATGAGACCAAAGTCGAGCTCTTTGGCATCAACTCAACTCGCCGTGTTTGGAGGAGGAGGAATGCTGCCTATGACCCCAAGAACATCATCCCCACCGTCAAACGTGAAGGTGGAAACATTATGCTTTGGGGGTGTTTTTCTGCTAAGGGGACAGGACAACTTCACCGCATCAAAGTGACGATGGACAGAGCCATGTACCGTCAACACATTAAAGGTCCTGGAGTGGCCTAGCCAGTCTCCAGACCTTAATCCCATAGAAAATCTGTGGAGGGAGCTAAAGGTTCGAGTTGCCAAACGTCAGCCTCGAAACCTTAATGACTTGGAGAAGATCTGCAAAGAGGAGTGGGACAAAATCCCTCCTGAGATGTGTGCAAACCTGGTGGCCAACTACAAGAAACGTCTGACCTCTGTGATTGCCAACAAGGGTTTTGCCACCAAGTACTAAATCATGTTTTGCAGAGGGGTCAAATACTTATTTCCCTCATTAAAATGAAAATCAATTTATAACATTTTTGACATGCGTTTTTCTGGATTTTTTTGTTGTTATTCTGTCTCTCATTGTTCAAATAAACCTACCATTAAAATTATAGACTGATCATGTCTTTGTCAGTGGGCAAATGTACAAAATCAGCAGGGGATCAAATACTTTTTTCCCTCACTGTTGGTGTTCCTCTTGTCCAGGTGGGAAAGGGCAGTGTGGAGTGCAATAGAGATTGCATCATCTGTGGATCTGTTGGGGCGGTATGCAAATTGGAGTGGGTCTAGGGTTTCTGGGATAATGCTGTTGATGTGAGCCATGACCAGCCTTTCAAAGCACTTCATGGCTACAGACGTCATTGCTACGGGTCGGTAGTCATTTAGGCAGGTTATCTTAGTGTCCTGCATGGAGACTATGGTGGTCTGCTTGAAACATGTTGGTATTACAGACTCAGTCAGGGACATGTTGAAAATGTCAGTGAAGACACTTGCCAGTTGGTCAGCACATGCTCGGAGTACACGTCCTGGTAATCCATCTGGCCCTGCGGCCTTGTGAATGTTGACCTGCTTAAAAGTCTTACTCACATCGGCTACGGAGAGCGTGATCACAAAGTCATCTGGAACAGCTGGTGTTCTCATGCATGCTTCAGTTTTGCTTGCCTCGAAGCGAGTATAGAAGTGGTTTAGCTCGTCTGGAAGTCTTGTGTCACTGGGCAGCTCGCGGCTGTGCTTCCCTTTGTAGTCTGTAATAGTTTTCAAGCCCTGCCACATTCGACGAGCAGCAGAGCCGGTGTAGTACGATTCAATCTTAGTCCTGTATTGACTCTTTGTCTGTTTGATGGTTCGTCAGAGGGCATAGCGGGATTTCTTATAAGCGTCCGGGTTAGAGTCCCGCTCCTTGAAAGCGTCAGCTCTACCCTTTAGCTCAGTGTGGATGTTGTCTGTAATCCATGGCTTCTGGTTGGGGTATGTACGTACGGTCACTGTGGGGACGACATCATCGATGCACTTATTGATGAAGCCAGTGACTGATGTGGTGTACTCCTCATGTTCCAGTCTGTACCAGAAAAACAGTCCTGTAGCTTAGCATCTGCGTCATCTGACCACTTTTTTATTAACTGAGTCACTGGTGCTTCCTGTTTAAGTTTTTGCTTATAAGCAGGAATCAGGAGGATAGAGTTATGGTCAGATTTGCCAAATGGGACACCCAGGTGCCATGGAGACTGTTAACACCCAGGTTCTGTACTCAGGCACCTGTCATTGCTGCTTTCCTGTGTGAGGATCACCAGAGGATCTGCCTGCCAACACACAGGTCCCATAACTTGACACACAGGAAAGCTCCTCTGACAGGTGCCTGACGCCATCCTGCGAGGGACTGAAAGCCTGCTCTCTTCAGACAGTGTGTTCTGCTCTGTAGGCCTGTCTATCTAGGAGGGAAATCTCACTTGAGTCTTGGACGGTTCTGCCAGAGTGCTACCACCTCCTTGCCATTGTGCAGTGACTGATCATTCTCATAACCTTTCCACAGATTTGTTTTATAAATCAAATTGAACTTTTCCAGAGATTCATTTGGAAATAAGTTGTATAACTTTTTTGTGTTATTGTCAAGAATTTATAATTATAATAATAATAATATATGCCATTTAGCAGACATTTCTGTTAGGGCCTCCGGAGTGGCGCAGTGGTCTAAGGCACTGCATCGCAGTGCTAGAGGTGTCGCTACAGATCTGGGTTCGGTCCCAGGCTGTATCACAACCGGCCGTGATCGGGAGTCCCATAGGGAGATGCACTATTGGCACAGCGTCATCCGGGTTAGGGGAGGGTTTGGTCGGGGGGGCTTTACTTGGCTCATCGCGCTCTAGCTACTCCTTGTGGCGGGCCGGGCACCTGCAGGCTGACTTCGGTTGTCAGTTGAATGGTGTTCCTCCGACACATTGGTGCGGCTGGCTTCGGGGTTAAGCAGGCGGGTGTTAAGCGCGGTTTGCATGCTATGTCCATAATAAGTATATAGATTATAGGTTGAGAGCTTTTGTGAAAGAGCACAGTTAGAAAGATATGGTATATAGAAGCAAACCGGATGGACATCATGAAAATGATCGGAGAGGTTGAGGTTAGAGGAAGTTCAGGAGTAAAAACAAACAAAATATAGTTATTGTAAAATTGACTGTGTCCATAAAATGTATATAGTATGTACAGTGGGGAGAACAAGTATTTGATACACTGCCGATTTTGCAGGTTTTCCTACTTACAAAGCATGTAGAGGTCTGTAATTTTGATCATAGGTACACTTCAACTGTGAGAGACGGAATCTAAAACAAAAATCCATAAAATCACATTGTATGATTTTTAAGTAATTAATTTGCATTTTATTGCATGACATAAGTATTTGATCACCTACCAACCAGTAAGAAGTCCGGCTCTCACAGACCTGTTAGTTTTTCCTTAAGAAGCCCTCCTGTTCTCCACTCATTACCTGTATTAACTGCACCTGTTTGAACTCGTTACCTGTATAAAAGACACCTGTCCACACACTCAATCAAACAGACTTCAACCTCTCCACAATGGCCAAGACCAGAGAGCTGTGTAAGGACATCAGGGATAAAATTGTAGACCTGCACAAGGCTGGGATGGGCTACAGGACAATAGGCAAGCAGCTTGGTGAGAAGGCAACAACTGTTGGCGCAATTATTAGAAAATGGAAGAAGTTCAAGATGACGGTCAATCAACCTCGGTCTGGGGCTCCATGCAAGATCTCACCTCGTGGGGCATCAATGATCATGAGGAAGGTGAGGGATCAGCCCAGAACTACACGGCAGGAACTGGTCAATGACCTGAAGAGAGATGGGACCACAGTCTCAAAGAAAACCATTAGTAACACACTACGCCGTCATGGATTAAAATCCTGCAGCGCACGCAAGGTCCCCCTGCTCAAGCCAGCGCATGTCCAGGCCCGTCTGAAGTTTGCCAATGACCATCTGGATGATCCAGAGGAGGAATGGGAGAAGGTCATGTGGTCTGATGAGACAAAAATAGAGCTTTTTGGTCTAAACTCCACTCGCCGTGTTTGGAGGAAGAAGAAGGATGAGTACAACCCCAAGAACACCATCCCAACCGTGAAGCATGGAGGTGGAAACATCATTCTTTGGGGATGCTTTTCTGCAAAGGGGACAGGATGACTGCTCCATATTGAGGGGAGGATGGATGGGGCCATGTATTGTGAGATCTTGGCCAACAACCTCCTTCCCTTAGTAAGAGCATTGAAGATGGGTCGTGGCTGGGTCTTCCAGCATGACAACGACCCGAAACACACAGCCAGGGCAACCTAAGGAGTGGCTCCGTAAGAAGCATCTCAAGGTCCTGGAGTGGCCTAGCCAGTCTCCAGACCTGAACCCAATAGAAAATCTTTGGAGGGAGCTGAAAGTCCGTATTGCCCAGCGACAGCCCCGAAACCTGAAGGATCTGGAGAAGGTCTGTATGGAGGAGTGGGACAAAATCCCTGCTGCAGTGTGTGCAAACCTGGTCAAGACCTACAGAAAACGTATGATCTCTGTAATTGCAAACACAGATTTCTGTACCAAATATTAAGTTCTGCTTTTCTGATGTATCAAATACTTATGTCATGCAATAAAATGCATATTATTTACTTAAAAATCATACAATGTGATTTTATGGATTTTTGTTTTAGATTCCGTCTCTCACAGTTGAAGTGTACCTATGATCAAAATTACAGACCTCTACATGCTTTGTAAGTAGGAAAACCTGCAAAATCGGCAGTGTATCAAATACTTGTTCTCCCCACTGTATAAGCTGGAAGTAGAGGCCTAAGCGTTGTTGTTCACTTTTGCGAGAAAAAAAAACTACATATGGGGGATTGGAAGTGATGCAGACAATTACATTGATGGAAGTTAATATCTATCTGCAATATTAAAGTTGATCAACCACCACCAAAATTGTAAAAAAAAAAAACTGTTTAGCGGGTCATGTTTCGGAGGACAAATGACTCGACCTTCGCCTCCCGAGCCCATTGGGGAGTTGCAGTGATGAGACAAGATCGAAAAGGGGGTAAAAAAAGTATTCTTAATGGCATATATTATTATTATAAATCCTTGAGAGTAACAGAAGTTATACAGCTTATTTCCAAATGAATCTCTGGAAAAGTTCAATTTGATTTATAAAACAAATCTGGGACAACCTGTACGTAAAATGCATGCACGCATGACTGTAAGTCTGACATTTTAGGTACGGGTGGTCTCCATGTGTATGGTTAAAATTGTTTTTCAATGATCTAATAAAATCAATCAATCAACCAATGATCTCTCCTCCCCTCTGTTTTCTCAGCTGTCTGAGGAAGAGAAGATCCAGCGCTACAGCATCCTCTCTGAGCTCTATGACCTGATTGGTTTCCACCGTAAGTCAGCCTTCTTCAAGCGGGTAGCAGCCATGCAGTGTGTGGCCCCCACCATCCCAGAGCCTGGCTGGAGGGCCTGCTACAAGCTGCTGCTGGAGACCCTGCCTGGATACAGCCTCTCCCTCGACCCCAAAGACTTCAGCAAAGGTACCCAACTGGATATGCCTCTACTCTGTGTCAAAACTGTCCCATATACTGTTGAGTGATCCCCTACGACGTTATATTATCAATAAAACACACACACACATACAACCCCCTGTTTCAGTAACGTCAATACTTAGCGAGTAATAGCATGCTGCCGCCTGCTGACGACGTTAATTATCAAAGGACACATACAAACATACCCCTTAGTAGTAAACTCATCT